GAGAGAAGTACAAGCCTCAAGCTTACTTGCTCGTGGAGGATTTTCTCAACAAGGACAAGAAATTGAATCCAAATTACACGCGTCTGAGATGCTTTGATCTGTATAAGTTGCACTCGTGGGCGGCAGGGTTGACAGAATTCGCAGACGGGAGGAATCAAGAGAGTACGAGTGAGGCAGTTAATGCGTACTATGCAGCCGCTCTGATGGGGAAAGCGTATAAAGATGCGCAACTTGAGGCCACCGGTTCGCTGCTTACTGCATTAGAAATTCAGGCAGCTCAAATGTGGTGGCATGTGAGAGAGGGAGGAGAGAATCAAATTTACGAGCAAGATTTCGCGAAGGAGAATCGGGTTGTGGGAGTTTTATGGTCGACCAAGAGAGAGAGCGGGCTTTGGTTTGCGACTGCGGAGGCAAAAGAAATCAGACTTGGAATCCAAATGGTGCCTGTTTTGCCAGTTACTGAGGTATTGTTCGCTGATGTCGGGTTTGCTAGTGAGCTAGTGAACTGGGCATCGCCGGCGCTCAGCAGGACGGGAGTCACGGAAGCATGGAAAGGATTTGTGTATGCATTACAAGGGATGTACGACAAAGAAGGCGCTTTGGAGAAGATTAGAAGCTTGGAAGAATTCGACGATGGAAACTCCCGCAGTAATCTCTTATGGTGGATTCACAGTAGATGAACTTTTGTTGGTTAATTTCTTCTCGCATGAGGTTTTTTTTTTTTTTTTTTTTTTCGTTTAATTTCATATTCTTTTTCGTAATTTTTTTTAATGATCCAAATCTTTTATGTTTTAACACTTCATTCGCATGTGATCAATGCAAAAAACGCAACGTAAACCCAAAACATTAAAACATTCAGTTGTAGTGACGAAATCAAATGAATACGGTTCTTTATAAACAAACCTAAAATAATTACCATTTAAACCAACGGTCATATGATCTCAATTTTAAAGTAATTTTTGGTAGATAATCTTTGACCAAAACCTTAGTTATAGTTTAAGAATACATACACACACACACACATATATATATATATATATATATATATATATATATATTAAACAGGATTTTATCACACGAACTAAGTATCTAATTGCAGTAAGCATCAGGAAGAGAATAAAACGATTCTTTAATTTGTACTATAATTGACAGAACAATCTGAAGCTGGTACAAATGAGAGTCAAGTCTAAGATAATAATACACAAAAACTACTGGCATCATTCTTTTGAGTTAGGTTTAGGCGATTTTCGAGGATAATATGGAGACGCCGGAGGACCATTTGGGCTTGACAAGCTCCTTACGGGCTGTCCGTTTCTCGGCATGAATACTGCCTGCGTTCTGATGCCGTTCTTAGAACTCGAGTGGGACCTCGAACGAGCTGCTTGTATGTTTTGGAAGTGGTAGGAAGAACTGGCCATATCCTTGAGGTTTTGTAGAGGCTTTAGGGCTTCCACAACTTCACTCATCATTGGTCTAGCTTTCGGGTCACGACTGAGGCAGTGGGCGGCAAGCTGGACTGCTTTTTGTGCACCTTTAATAGAAAAATGACCTTCAAGACGGGGGTCAATTAACTGGAATAACCTCCTCTTGTCGCCAAAGAGTTGTCTCGCCCACTGCACAAGATTGTGCTCCCCATTTGGTCTATTTTTGTCCATGGATCTTCTGCCGTTTAACATTTCGAGCAGCACTACTCCAAAACTATAGACATCGCTCTTTGATGTCAAATGACCTAAATTTGGCCATGTTAGAACTTAATTCTAACTCACGATTAAGCATACTACATAATAAAAAATGAAAATAAAAAAAAAAGATTACGGAAGTAGATGGCCTAAGTATGCAATTATTTATCAGAAGCCATAGCCCGATAAAATGCTAAGTGCTGATGTTTAAACCTATCACTTTGCTTATTCGATGAAGTTGCAACTTTATAAAACTACCAAAACTATTAAATGCCGAAGATGATTATTATCAGACTCACCAGTCATCACGTACTCTGGGGCTGCATAACCATAGGTTCCCATGACTCGTGTGGAAACATGAGTTTTATCACCCTCAGGACCATCTTTCGCAAGTCCGAAATCCGAAAGCTTGGCATTGTAATCCTAAAATAATACATTCCATTTTCAGAAGAAAATAGGAGTAGGGAAAGAAAAGAAGTTGATGCTCAGTTATTGTCACTTACTGCATCTAATAGGATATTAGATGTTTTAAAGTCACGGTATATGACCGGTTTTTGAACTTCTTCATGAAGAAAGGCAAGACCCTTTGCAGCACCGAGTGCAATTCTCATTCTAATAGACCACGGAAGAGGCAGGGACCCTGGTTGTTACCAAAGATCATTAGGCAACCATTAACAATACAGAACAACACAAATTCAACAGCTAGTTTCAATATACATGCAATTATCAAAGAATGTGAAAGGACCGGTTGCTTACTTCTGAAAAGGTGGTTTTCCAAACTTCCCCTAGGCAAAAACTCATAGACCAACAACCTCTGATCATCTTCAATCGAGTAACCAATCAATTTTACCAAATTAGGATGGACGAGATCACCAAGAAAATAAATTTCAGCCTGAAATATAATGGAAAAAAAAGGATTTAGATACAATTTAAACCGAAAAAGGAGACTTGCATGTAATCTAAGAGGTAAGTTAAAAAGCAGTTAATATCGTAAAGTTGAGGGATACTGAAGCCATACAAGCCATTCTTTGTGACCCTGAAGCCCATCATGGTTGAGGGTCTTAACTGCAACCGTAAGCCCTGTACCAGGTTTCACAGGAGCAGTTCCATTCTCCTCAACCCAACCCTTAAATACACAACCAAATCCACCCTCACCAAGAAGGCTCTCCGGTCTGAAGTTTCTAGTCGCCAACTTAAGTTCGTTAAATGTGAATTTTCGGAGCTGAGAAGCAACCTTCAGTTCCTCACTAAAATAGGGCGTGGATGTAGTACTTCCGGCATTACTAGTAGTTGTAGACGACCCTCCACGAGTAAGTTCTCGATCTCTACTTTTCTCATTCGACGATTTAGTTTCCGCTGGTTACACAAGGTCCAACACACTTAAGTGTATGATACATATATAGTAGTATGCACTTGAATCAAATAAGATGTTGGTATTGTTTGGAATTTCATAAAAATGCCAGACACAAAAAATAAACCGTAAATCGATTTCAAACTATTAGACTCGATGAATTAACCGTATATAATAAAGTCCATTCCCCTCTCTGTAAATTAGAGTAGTTTACAACATCGCCTTCAAACCATTCGTCTTCTGAACATTCATCACCTAAACAAAGTTTGACACTTTCCTAAAATCATATGATGTTACATGCCCTCTTTACTTAATTTAGCAGACCCAACAAAATAATCATCCGAAAAGGAAAAAAGGGCAACCAAAAGACACAATCCCCAAAATTTAATGTTTCTCAGCAAGAAATTGCCTAAAAAGGAAAAGGGCAGTGAAGAATTTACCATAAGAAACACTAGTTCCAGTGATGGAGCTATCAACTTTGGATCTTGAAGGCATGCAGGTCCCAAACCGGAGCTTAACCCAACACCCAGTCTCCTCCACCGCATCATCCTTCTTCTTCCTTCCCTTCGATTTGCTACTGTTATCGCAACTCTCCACCTTGCTAGGATTAAGCACCAAACCCATCCCCTCAAACTCTCTCTAGATTCAGATTCTCATGGCTCAGAGACCCAGAAATTTCAAAACTCACAGAAAGTCCATTGCAACCCACCAACCAGCAAACCAAAAGCGACCAAAATAGCTACAAAATCTCTGAAATTTCACAAAAAAAAGTGTGAAGTGAAGCAGGAGGATCGAACAGTGGTTCAAAAACACAGAAAACCCACCAATCTGCAACCCCAAAACGCTACAAAACCTCTGAAATTTTCACAAAGAATGCGACTTGAAGCAAAGATCGAGCAGCCGCATCCTCGATAAATTGAATCCGACCCAGATGGTCAAAAAGGATAGAGAAAGAGAGTGATGAGAGAGAGAGAAAGGGAGAGAGGGGAACAGAAGGCGTGAAAAGAGAGGCTCTGCTGCTTAAGAAAGAGGGAAAAGTTTTCCAAAAATGGTGGGGCAGGTCGGGCGAGGTTTGAAACAGAGGAGGCGGGCAGGTCGGGCATGAGAGAGAAAGGAAGAGAAAGGAGAAAGCTTTCACACACTGCTCCACGACACTAGCTTTGGCATATTCCCAGCGTCAAATCAAAAGCTTGTCATGCTACTTGAATTTTTATTTTATTTTTTTGCCTAATTATTTCTGCTTTTTATTTTTTATTTTTTATTTTTTGGAATCATGAACATTTTTTTGGACATGTGGAAAATCGGACTGCAGATTTATCCAATAATGCAACAAGATAGAATCATATGATTTTTAGAATTTTTAATTCTTTGTTTAATTTTAATAGTGGTGAAGTGTAGTCTACACAAGAAGATGTGCAATAAATATTGTGTTATTACATGATATGATTTACATAACCTGTTAAATCCGATAATTATGGATAACTGTCTTATGATTAAACGATTTTAGTTTTAATTGACTAAACGATCTTAATTTTAATTTACTTTTACAAAAACGGTCTTTATAAAGTGATTTATAAACGATTTCGATTATAAACATGAACTACTATAAATCGACGACTAATAATTTTGAGTATGAACTCATACTCATCTTTTGAGTAGCCAATTATTACTCATCACAGCATATTTTTTAGGCCACTTAAATGCTAAAAATGTCTGAAGAGTTTTTTTCGAAGAACTTTAACGAAAAGCTCTCAATACTGTTCATTTTAACGAAAAACCACATTTTTACAATAAAAAATCAATCCTGATTCTATTCACTTTACCTTTTATTTTATTCTTATCGTTAAAACTCAAAATTTTGAAACCATTTTCATTAGTTTTTTTTTATTATTATTATTCAATCAATATTCTAATCTAATCGAAACTACGAAAAAAGGAAACAAACTCGGCATAACAAAAAGGATGCAAAATAAAAGACAACAATAATATTCTGATTTATATTGGGAAAAAGGGTATACAGAGTTACAACCAAACTTTCGAGGCTTAGTATAGTTCACATCTTACACTCCTTACACAAACCAGCAATGTGCAGTCACCAGGAAGCCATTGTCAACCTCAACTATTTGGATTTTGGGTCATCCACTTCACGTTTCGAGCCATGTCACGGTTCCTGCGATCAAATACTTGCTTGGAAGCTCACCTGCCGAAGGTGCAAGGTATGTAATTGTCTTCCTGTAAAATGTCACATACTGGGTTAGATCAACCAAAACCAGAAGCAAAAAGTGCTTCTACCAAGTTGTTTACTGTAGCTCAGAATTCAAACCTCTGAATGTCGACGTCTGTGACAAAGACAAACCCAGCAACATTACTGCAAAACAAAACAAAAAAGTAAAAGCTTAAAGACTACAGACTATGAATCCACTTTTGTATGTGAAGTTCAAATGAAAGAGAACAAAACTGATCCATGCCATACTTTACTGAATCATTATCTATTTCTATATCAGATGAATCTTTACAAGTTACCTAGAAATAATTTGATCAGGCTCCTTGGCAAATGAAACGGCGAGAATGGTATGCAGCAAATCCCGGTTAATATTCACAGGCGCCAATCTTAGAGGGTCTGCAGCAGGCTCTGCACCAATTGGCAAAGCTGAACGTGGGGCCTGTGGCCCGCCACCAATTCGAAAGACAGAAAAGTCACTGAAGTTTGCGATGTTAGAATGTGGGCTCAGATCATTTGCAAGGCCATAGAAATATTCCTGGTGGAAATATCAGCGCGCATGAGTCTTTTCTTCAAGGAGAACAAATAACACAAGGATTAAATGGAAACATATTGCTTGAACTTGTTCATAAAAGATGACACTTACCCTTATCCTATGACTCCTGGATTTTTGACGGAATTTGGCATTCCTGGATACAACGCCCCCAGATTTTTGAAGTTTTACAACGTCCACACCAGGCTTGTTCTTTAGCACATTTCTGATCATGCTCCAAAGCTTTTCCTGAGAATTTAAACGAAATATATGTACCGTCACTGAAGCCTACATATGAAACCATTTTGTTAAAACATTAAATGTTTCAAACAACAATGCATTACGCTAACCAATACAAATTCTGAGTCCAGACAGAGTCGAGCAACAAAAGAACAGAAGAGAGAAGGAGAAAGAAGGGGGGGGGGGGTAAGAGAAGAAGAAAAGCTTGCAAAATCCACTAAGGTATAACCATAATTAGTAAAGAAACTCAAACTAGAGGGATGTACCTGGCCCAGAACTAAGACAACATTGGCATTGAATGTATCAATTGCATGAAGAAGCAACTGCAAGAAAGATAAAAAATAGAAACCATCAAACACGAATTTAAATACCTGACATTAAGACAACCATTTCAATATTAAAGTGACATCCCTGTGAAGCAGCCTAAAAATTACCTCGTAGCCTTGACCTTCTATCCATCCCATGGTATTGATCACCATTCCAGAAGCTCGAGATTCAGCATTCCCAGAAATTTGTCTCTCTACCACTTGAGCTAGCTCCTTCACAAGCACTTTGTATAAATCTACATTATTACTGGAGAAAAAAATTGGATCTTTAAGGATTCATGACTTTCACTAAATTGGAAATACAAGAAATGTTCTTATATGTTAGTATCAGATATCAATACAAGATGCAAAATGATAGGTCTACAAATAACCATAAGAAAATGCAATAAATCAATTACCTAGGAGTTGTGTGCCCATAGAAATACACGAGAGGAATATCAAGAGGAATTCCTTCAACCGGATCAATAGGCATTTCAATAGGAGTAGCGGCAATGCATCCCGGAATTGTTATAGCTCCCTGTCCAATATCCAAGTCGACAAAAGTAGGTTTCCATCCCTTCTTAGCTGCCCAACTAAGAAGCATTTTCGACAAGGTACTTTTCCCAGAATCTGTCGGTCCCACAACAATCACTCTTGGGCCCTAACCACAAAGAAGCTTATAAGCCACAAACAGATATTCACTTACCAAGGATTACAACAATCCTAGGTAACATACACCTGAAAATGGACTTGCATTACTACGCAGTCAATGCGCTTGAGCCACAAGCTTATTTCAATCATTCATAAAAAAATTACAGAGTCGGGCATCAAACACTTCTGTCCACTAAAGAATGACACTAATTAGAACATTTCGAATGTTTTGCATTTGTCTGCTCCCAACATACAAGTGAACAAGTATACTTTTATTCACTGAAGAATGACACTAATTAGAACACATTGAAAATTTTGCATTAATTTTCCCCGACATACAAGTGAAAAAGTAGTACCTGAGAATTGGGGTCATCCGGTGGCAAGGGTTTAGCGCGGTGTCTCCGTTCTTCCAGTACGGCGTGCACATTCACATAACTGATATTTGGGGTCTGAAAAATCAAACATTGGAATCAGTCACCATTCACATTCTCATTAGTGACAGATGCATCCCGAGCAAAAAGTAAAAAACGCAAAGCAGATAACAAGCACATGAAATACCTCATCAGCAGTGTAATCGGTTTCAGTACTGCCATCCATCTCAATTGTTGCTCCATTCCAAGTAAAAACCTTCAGCAATCAAAACCCACAACACAAATGCAATTCAAAACCTTCAACAATCAAAACCCACAACACAAATGCAATTCAAAACCTTCAACAATCAAAACCCACAACGCAAATTCAATAAAAACTTCAACTTTGTAATGTAAATTTGGGAAAAGCAGTAGAGGAAGAAGGTTACAGCAAATTTGAGCCTGGGAGGGAAGGTGAGCCAGAAATCAGGTGGGAGCTCGGTGCCGAAGATCTCAGCGGTGCCGTTGAGCAGTCGGAGCTTGAGAGGGGCGTCGTTGCCGACTTCGATTCTGAGCTCGCTCTCTCGGTCCAGTTTCACCTGCCTTGCTCCACCGCCGTGCGCCATCTTCTTCTGCTGGCTTCACTCTCGGTATTCCAGTTGGGGGTTTTTACAGGACTGGCGCTTTGTCTTCAATTGGGATTTCGAGGGGTTTTTACAGTGTGTAGTCCTTTGGGATTCGATGATAAAATTATGTTCGTTTTTATGTTGAATTATTTCGTTTGATTTAATTAATTCGATGATAAAATTTTAAAAGAGGTGTGACCGATTTGATATCTTTGTATTGAAATGTGTAGAAAAATACAATATAGATAAAGTTAACTCAATCTGTGTTAAGGTAGAAAATATATGCTAATTATAATTAATCAATTACAATACATAATAAGAATCGATGAAAAATTCGAAATCAAAGATTCTATTCTAATAATGTGTGTGAAAATTAGCTTTCAAATTAAGAACAAAATAATTATTAAAGTAGCCCTTAATTTTCACACTTGTTCTTCTTCCCACCACCCTTCCTCCACTTTTGTTGATCTTTTCTTCTCCATCCATTCTTAACAAAAGATTGAAACATAAAAACGAAATGGTTTCCTAATGGGTTCTAGGGTGTCTGAAATTTGTATGGCCTCAAACATAGGCCAAAACGTTGAATAAATTGTGAGCATTTAAGAGATTTGTAGCTCAAGTGATTAAGAGTATTTATTCTATATTTTAAGATCGTAAATTCAATTCCTTAGCCTTGAATATCGTTTGTATAAAAAATATGAATGTATACCATATACGTAATCTAACTTCTAATTAAGCTATTATTAATTAAGTGCGAATTAAGTTTCATTTATATGTTTTGATCGAATTGAAACCAGTTACAAAATAACAAGATGAACTGGTTAAACTAAAATGAATGCATTCAACCCCAATCACAACTTTATTCGGGTTGAGGGGTTGTCTAACTCTAACTATTAAGACATTTATTTGGGTTTAAATGGGATAGTAAGTAGATGAACTAGTGTAAGTTACGACTTACTTTTTTAATGATCTAAACTGTTTATATCTTGATTCGTTATTCATAGATCATCTTTGCAAAAAATTAGACAAATCTAATACTATTAAGACATTTATTTGTAATAACGACTACAATTCTACAAGGAAAGATTAAAATGACTGTCACTTAATCCAACAATCATATAATTCTAGATTTGGATAATATTTTATAAAAATAATTTTAAAAAAAAAAGCTTTAAAAGATAGGCGGTATAATCAATGAAATATATTATGAAGGGTCCTAAAAAATGTGGCCCCAATCATTTTTTTAAAAGAACTTTAACGAAAAGTTTCTGGTACTGTTCACTTTAACAACAAATCACATTTTTACACTAAAAAGTCAATTCTGTTACTATTCATTTTACCGTTTATTTTATCCTTATCATTAAAACTCAAAGTTTTCAAATTATTTTCATTAGTTTTTTTTTTTTTAATAAAGTACAATTCCGCTAGACAATGTAAACAAGCAACCAACCACCACGGGATGCCCTAGTGGTTTAGGAAAGAATTTTATGTCTGTATTTACACGATAAGTTTTGGATTCGATTTCTAACGTTGGCTGAATCATACAATTGTACCCAAGGTATAAAATATCGATGATATCGGAAATATCGGTAGTCCAAAAACATGAAAATTTCGATGGAAATATCGGGATATTATCGATATCGATAAAAATTGAATAAAAACCACGGAAATTGTAAGAAAAACTTGGAAATTTTTATTGAAACTTTGCAGGATGTTTATTTAGTCAATTATCTATTAGTTTATCACAAAAAATTGGAAGGAAATGCATTGCATGATAAATATAACTGATTTAAATTGATTATATAGCGAGCTGGCAAACATTGTGAGTGTAGAAAATATGTAGTAATTAATTAAAGAAGTTTAAACACATCATAATCGTTTATATATAATGAATTAGTACAATATTTTACACTTTATACATTGCATGGTAAGATACATGAGTGATCGATAAAAATTGAATAAAAACCACGGAAATTGTAAGAAAAACTTGGAAATTTTTATTGAAACTTTGCAGGATGTTTATTTAGTCAATTATCTATTAGTTTATCACAAAAAATTGGAAGGAAATGCATTGCATGATAAATATAACTGATTTAAATTGATTATATAGCGAGCTGGCAAACATTGTGAGTGTAGAAAATATGTAGTAATTAATTAAAGAAGTTTAAACACATCATAATCGTTTATATATAATGAATTAGTACAATATTTTACACTTTATACATTGCATGGTAAGATACATGAGTGACTTAGCAAGGTCTAAAATATCAATAATATCGGAAATATCGGTAGTCCAAAAAAATATCGGTAGTCAAAAAACAAGAAAATTTCAATGAAAATATCAGGATATTATGGATATTTTTCGCGACTCTCGACGGTGAACTGCAGTGAAAGTTATCAATTGATCGCTTTTAAAAAAGAAAAAGAAAATAAAGGAAGCCGTGACTTTCTAGGCTGCTTCTTGTGCTCTTCAAAGAAAGTTCAGTCATTGCAAGTTCCAACTCCTTGGCACTTGTGTGTCAACTTCATGGAAAATTCTCGGCACTTTCACACATGGAATCCCTTAAATACTCACAAACCCACCAAATCAAACCTCACTCGACCAAAAACTCGAACACAAAAACTTGCGCAGAATTGCAAAAATGTTGCCAACGAATGCTCACCAAAACCCCACACAAGTCCCAGACACTGCTCGAACACCGGACTTCAGCGACAGCTTTGCTTACTTCAACCTCACAGCCTGCTACCTCACCACAATGTACCGGGCGTACAAGGCCGGCGACTACCCGGCCCTCGCTTTCGTCGCGTTTATCTACGTGGCCTACTGGGGTTTGGACAAGTGTCTACAAGTGTCCAACAGGTTGCCACGTGGCGAGAAGTCGGTGAAGAAGGAGGCGTTGAGGTTCACCTATTGCGGGTTGACGAGTGGCATTCTGTTTGGGTTTGCTTGTCAGTTTAGGACGTTCATGCCCTTGGCCGCGGTGGTGCTCATGTATTTTGTTGCCATTGCTACCAGTTTGCTGCTCTTCTTTGTCTACTACATCGAACATTACCAAAACGGATGTTATGAAAAGATTAACAACAATTTGGACAATGTTTAATTTTTAATTAATAACAAAATACATGATATAGTAAGTAATTTGCTTATATATTACTAGCTTAAGTACTATTAATATCATATTCTCGAGTGCTTGTACTTCTGCAGTCCAATCAAAATGAATTATTTGAAATGATCAGTCCTCGTATGACACCCTTTTGAGCTAATATCTAATCATGTTGTTTTTCTTTCTCTTGAACAAATAAAACTTCAACTAAGAAATTAAGAGGATTGCAAAATAATATCGGTTACAAATGGTGGTTAATTTCAGTATTATTTTTTTCTTTCAACAGGAGGGCAACTGGTGGTAAGCTATAATTATCCACATTTTTCAGGTACGGAGAGGCCACGATTAATCATAGTACTAGACACGATTCGATTTGGATTGATTGGTAAAAAAATGGAATTCAATAAAGAAATTCTAAAAAGTAGAAAATACAAAAACGAATGGAGAAGTGGGGTATCGATCCCCATACCTCTCGCATGCTAAGCGAGCGCTCTACCATCTGAGCTACATCCCCAAGTTGGATCTTGTATCCTGTAATGTTATTTTTAAAGATAATTTGGCGATTGGCGAGTTTGTTGTAGTTGTTTTCACTTCGTCACTTCCACGCCAGTCCCCGCAGAGAGTGACCAGAGGTGTTCCAAAATGTTGAGACGGTTTTTGCTACAAGCTTCCGCCGCTCGCCGCCGTCTTCCCAACTCCCACTTTCCTCCGTCGTATTCGGCCCCTTTAATTCCCAACCGTTCAGTTTCTTCAACATCTTATTCTTCTTCTTCCCAAACCCCACACAGTCCTTTCGTCGAACAATTGGATGACAACCCTGACCAAACCACCACTCAACCCACCGCCTCCATCGCCGTCGACCGCTCCGGCTTGTACAACCCACCCGGTACCACCACCAATCCATAATTTTCATTCACTAATTGGTTTTTCTCATTAATTTCATAATATTTGTAATTAATTTTTGTGGCAGAGCATTCCCATGAACCCACTTCGGACTCCGAGCTCGTCAAGCACCTCAAGGGAATCATCAAGGTTTGTTTTTTCTTCTATTTTCTCCATTTTTTTGATATGGGTTACCTGTAAATGTTGCAATTTGAGTGGCAATGTGGTTGTGAATGTGGGGTTTTGGTTAGTTCCGCGGCGGCCCAATCTCGGTTGCTGAATATATGGAGGAGGTTCTGACGAATCCGAAAGCCGGATTCTACATGAATCGAGATGTGTTCGGAGCTGGAGGTGATTTCATCACCTCCCCAGAAGTGAGCCAGATGTTTGGGGAGGTAAATTTATTTTTGCTGGATTGTTGATTACTCTGTTAATTTATCTTCTTGTTCGAATTTGATTGTTGAAGAGAAAATGTTTTGTTGTTTTCTCTGCTTGTTTGAATTTAGATGGTTGGTGTTTGGGCAATATCTCTGTGGGAGCAAATGGGACAGCCGGATAGGGTGAACCTAGTTGAGCTAGGTCCGGGAAGAGGAACTCTCATGGCCGATCTTCTTCATGTATGAACCGGCTTTGCTCATTGAACTTCTTTATTGTCATTGCTATAGAAATGGAAATACAGTAACTGTAGCTACTTTCTATGCTGTGTAGGGTGCGTCAAAATTTAAGAACTTCACTGAATCATTGCACGTGCACATGGTAGAGTGCAGTCCTACGTTGCAGAAACTTCAGCATCAGAAGCTGGAATGTGTAGATGAAGAGGTTTCGGATGGCAAAAGGACTGTAAGCGCGTTGGCTAAAACTCCTGTATCATGGCATGCCACATTGGAAGATGTTCCAACAGGATGTATGTAGTTGTGTTCTTATTTATGTTACAAGCAAGATGAGCTTATTTTTGTGTGTGTGTATTGGAAATGAATGAATGAATGGATGGCGGCTAACTTCTGTTTGTGCAACAACTGACTAGCTCTCTTGATTATCATGCCAGTGCCATCTATCATAATTGCCCACGAGTTTTATGACGCTTTACCAGTTCATCAATTTCAGGTTTATGTGGTTCATTTCTGACCTACATCTCCAATTGCTCATTCGATGATTAT